GCCAGTGCGTCCTGTGTGGCCGGCCCCTAGACGGCCGGGGCCTGTGTGCTGCCTCTCCAGTGCCAGTGCGTCCTGTGTGGCCGGCCCCTTGGCCTTGCGTCCCGCATGTCCTGTGTGGCCGGCCCCTTGGCCTTGCATCCCGCATTCACCTTCTGGGCACTTGCACCTGTGTCCTGCACAGCAGGTGCTCATGGATGCGACTCTCTCAGCACAGGAAGTCCTGGAGAACCTCAAAGACCGCTGGTATCAGGCAGACAATCCTCCTGCTGACCTGCTGCTGACCGAGGAGGAGTTCCTGTCATTCCTGCACCCTGAGCACAGCCGGGGCATGCTCAAGTTCATGGTCAAGGAGATCATCCGGGACCTGGGTAAGGCCATGTCCGTCTCCCCGGGATTCTAAGCCCAGTTGTGACCAGCGGGCAGGGATTAGTATACCTCCTGAGTGGGCAGTGGCCTCACAACTCTGCCGCTGAGCCCAGCCCCAACCTGACCCTAGAGCGAGCAGAACGGGCTTGACTTGGTTTCCAAGCAGGTCTTGCTTTCTGGTTATGCTTCCTGAGATTTGGGCCGAAGCCCAAGGTGAGCACCTGTTAACACGGGTGTTTATGTAAGATCCCTAGCGGGCCCCCACTCCTCATCCACAGACCAGGATGGAGATAAACAGCTCTCCCTGCCCGAGTTCATCTCCTTGCCTGTGGGCACCGTTGAGAACCAACAGGGCCAGGACATCGATGACAACTGGGTGAAAGACAGGAAAAAAGAATTTGAAGAACTGATTGATTCCAACCACGATAGTATTGTGACCATGGAGGAGCTGGAGGTGAGTGTGCCCTGTGGGTGGCCCGGGGAGGCTGGGCGTGCCCTGTGGACAGCCCTGAGGTTTTGCACTGAGCCAGCAGCAGTGGTCCCCAGAGAACGGGGGCTGTCTGCGAGGAGGCCTGATCCAGAAGTGCCCAGTCTGCTGAGGTCTGGCCGAAGCGATCACTGTGTGTCAGTGGCTCAGGCCACTGTGGGGTCTCCAGCGCTTACATCAGAGTCCGGAAGGCTCTACCCGGCCTCTGCTGATTGGCTCTAGGTAGCAGCTCCCAGGCTACTCCCTGCATGGGGGTTCTTTTTTTTTTGGTCTGGTCGTGGGACCTGAACTGTGGGCCTGGGCGCTATCCCTCAGCTCTTCAGCTCAAGGCTAGTGCTCTACCACTTGAGCCACAGCGCCACTTCCGG